TCTGCCTTGCTATTCTCCCATGAAACCTGTTTTCCCCAGTGCTTTTCTGATGGTGGGATCATGAACATTGACTTCAGCCAAGACAAGAAAAGCCTGCAAATCCCTGGATGGTGTTCTGCAGTTCTGTGTAACTTCACGAATGATTTTATGCTGTGCTGGTGGATTTATTTTGATAGTAGCCCTCTAGGGAAAATTCACTGTTGCCCAAAATCTTCACTTCAAGACTATGTCTCTGGGTCTGTGAGGCCCAAAAGGTTTACAGGCTTTTTGAACCTGATTGGTATGAATTACTTTTCTACAGAGGTCTTTAGAACTTTCTTTTGAGTGGGGCATCTTCTAGAATCAGTGTGGCGAAAACTTCACTGTGAAGAGGGAAGCCAAAGTTTGTGAGACTCATAGAGAGTTGGACTGTCCCAAATCAGCCCTGATTGTTTAATGAAGTGCTTACATAACTGGCCTTAGTTATCCTTTCAATTGAATTCACTGAATTAGGGGGTTGATTACTTTTTTCACATGGGCACAATGAGCAGGATTATTTGTTTGTGAAATAAGCAAAACCAGCCTCAAACGTTTTCAGATTGATAGACTCAGACTTCCTTTATACTGTATATCAGTAGAGTCCTTGTGCAAATAGGTTCATGGCAAATCCACGTGGCACAGAGATGCAAACATTTAGAACATCTGCAAGTGGGCAAATAATTTTCAGAGAATTGTACATTCAAAAGTAGATAGGTGCTCCTGCTGGGTGCTGGTTTACTGGTGTACAGTCTGCTGGAACTGAGTGCCCTCCAGAAGGGTAAGCATTGCTACAGGTTGGAGATAAACTCTTGCTTGGGCCAGGGTTGGGAATTTTCCAACAATCTCACTTGAGATCACCCCAGATCTTGTGTGCAGCTACCAAGGTTCAACTCAGATCTCCATGTTCTTACATGAAACACAAATTGAGAAATTAATTTTATTCAGAAAAGACAAGAGTGACTCTTTGGAATCCAGGAAGCACTCTTTGGTGATCCCAAGATATACCTAAGTGTAAACTTATTTTTAAACTCTGGCTAGCTGATGATCTAGAATTCTGACTAGAAGGACAAGACTCCTGCTAAGGGGCAAGGATGAATTGTAGCATTTTGTTGTTGGTCCTACCTGTTTTATACTATTTTAGTTACAGTATATGCAGCCAGAGATAAAATATAGGGATCCATTATTTCTGTTAAAGAAAGGCCATATATTCATTAAGAAAGAGATAACTTCCAATGAGCTCAGTGGGAAATGGAATGGAAACTGTAGCAAAATGTTCCTATCAGTCTCCCTGCAGTCTAGAGAAAAACTAAGTTCATTAAGCCATGATCTGTTTAACCAGGATTTATTGAATAAACCAAAATTCAATAAATCCTGAATAAACAGAATAAACCAATATCATGCAATATACCAAACCATAAACCATAGTTTGCAAATGGGTTAGCATGAAACATTAAACTAAAACCAAACCAATCACATTATGGCTAATGAAAAAGAAACAGAAAAGATGTCGGTAGGCTGTTCTGTCTTTTCTTCATTCTATGGATGTATCCTTCTGAAATGGAAGTTCTCTTTTCTTTTACAAAATGGATTGAAATCCTGCTGGAGCTGATTTTCATGGATTTCCCTTTTCCTCCTTTTTTTCACACTAATTGAGAGACCCCCTAAATCTCAAGAACAGCTTTTGCAAGCAAGGGGAAGGAATGGTTGCTTCTCCAGTAGATGTGTTTTGTGAATACAGTACTGACCTTAAAAAGTCCTTAAGTTAAGGCAAGGATCAGAATAGATGGCCTAGGAATATTCCAGTTCTATTCATCTATCATTTAATGTAGAAAGTCAAAATGTTTTTTTGGCAACAATATGTAAGCACTTTGCTATTGCCTTCTCCCAGCATGCTTTCTGACTTCCCAGTCTAGCCTACAAACTTGGGACGTTCTGGTGTCTTCTATTCTCAATACTAACCAGGTCTGACCTGCTTAAGTGCAGCCTAAGATTGGTTAGGTACCACCACCTGCTCCAGACAACTTACTTACTGGGGGTGTTCACAGAAAAGTGGTCAAAAACATCAAGATGGCAGCCACAATCCTGCAATCAAAACCCTGCCCTTTTTTAATATGCCCTCCCCGTATGTATCGCTGGGCAGTCAATTCATATTAGGTGGAATTTGTGATAATCTTTTTCTGTCTTTCTCTTTCTGGCAGATCAAATAATAGTATTTTTATTTATTAGTCGGATTAGTAGATCTGTTCTGCATACAATGTGAATACAGGACTCGTGGTTTCCCAAATCCCCAAGAGAATAATTTTTATCAACTGTATTAGTGGAATAGATTCATCTACTGTTCCCCACTTCCAAGTTATTTTTTTAACTTAAATGGAATCTAAGTCTGTGCCTCATATGCTTCCCCCCCCCCCCATAAACTGTATCTGTAATTGGCAAAGATCAGTTTTACTCTGACTAAAATGGGAGAGCTGGCTTATTCCCCAACACATACTGTACACAAAGAACAGATGTCTTTCAATTTCAAATGGAAAGTTCCTCCAGGAAAACAAAGTAAAAAACTGGGGGACAAAACTAAATTACTAATAAGGCGAAACCTGTTTCCATGGGCATGTTATCCCATGTTGCAGTCAATAGATTACTATCTCATTCTCAACTGATTTTTCCTTGTTAGGCTACTCTGTAAAATTTCAGCTGTTGCAAGATGATAGACTCCTTATCTAATCTGAAAATCAATGCCAGTTTAGGTCTCGGTTGCAAATAAATGAACTTTAAGCATTCCTGCTAGGATGAACTGGCCATGTGTCTTACTTCACTGAAATTCAGCTTCCAATTCAGTCCTTCTGCATTGGTTAAATGTTTTCAGAATCCATTTTTTTTCATGAACATATTTAAGCGCTAAACTAAAACTTACAAGACTTTCATCTTCTGTCTCCCAATTAAATCAATGCAGCTTTTCTACAGAAAAATCTGCTTCCTTATAGAGATGTTTTATTGCAATAATTTTTATTGCTGCTGAGAGTTATCAGATAGTCCTTTGCCTGCCTTAGATGATGGTCTGTCTATGTGTTGTTATTTTTTTTTCCCAGAGAAGGCAGGCCATGTACTTCTTGATAAAGATCTGACTTTTTTCTTGTCTGGTAGCCATTAGTAGAAGAGCTTTGGCTCCAGCCTGAGGATTCCACAAAACAATGTATGTTTTCAAAACATGAATGCTTTGCCTTAACTTCATTTGATGTTTTCTGAAACCAGAAAACAATTGAAAATAATTCTAATCCAATTCAGTCTGTAATGAGATCGGAGTCATTTTTGCTCTGATCTCTGATCAAGGGCTTTTCAGCTCTTCAATCTTCTAACTTCCTTGACATACACTTATTTATCTGACTCTCAGGTTGCAGTGAACGTTGTGGCCCTGATCTACCTTTATTTATCAACACTAATTGTATTCCCCCTCCCTTTCTACTGCTTTACTGCTGTAAGAATAAAAATTAGTCAGCTACTTTTAACATAAATTGAATTTTATAAATACCCTCCTTCATTCCAGATTGCCTATGACCATCATAGCCAATATAATCCAATGGATTATATTGAGGGTAGCATATAGTTTATAGCATCTTCCCAAACCATTTCCAGATGTATTAGGACTGCAGCTCCTAGAATTCCAAGTCTAAATACTGATCTTTAGGTTTAAAGATCAGGAACCTAAAAAGATTTAGCACCTGAGCAAAAAACTTGGTCACAGCTTTGAGAAGACAGTGTTACATTTCAGTATAAATTATAGCTATTATTTTTAAATATACATCTTGACAGGTCCTTCCCAAACTGATTTCCTCTAGGTATGAACTGAGTATCTTAGAATTCCTGGCATTCGGGGCTGAAAGTTCTAGTCCCATATATGGGAGGTCACCAGCTTGGGAGATGCTGATATTTAAACTTGGAAATTAACACAATCTAATATATATGTCTATAGGGCTCTAGCAATGACTACCCTAGGTAAGAAAGCTGGAACAGGTCCATGTCTGGTGTTGGAAGAATCATAAGCAGCAATGGCATGTAAGTTGCTGAATGGGCCTTTGGATCAACTGATTACAAGGTAGCTGAGCTCCCTCTGTTCCTGTTTCTGAAAAGGGATCTCTTTAGGATGAAAAGACTTCTCTGTGAATGTTATTATAGTCTCTTAGTTTTAAGGAAAACACACACCATTTTTTTCTGCACACTAAAAACCAAAAGCAACTGTTTGGGTGCTTTAACTAATCCTTCATAATAATCAGTGGCAGGTAACATGCTGCTTTCAAAATGACAATTATAACATTCAAAATTATCACTTTTATGTTCCTCTCAAGGAAGTGGCAAAATGTACTGTTTGTGGGTGGCAAAGCCCTGTAATAAAAATATAGGCAACTTATATTTGACTTTATTTTGGGGGGGAACAGAGGGAGAAAAATGACACTCTTTAATTTCTAGGCATATAGACCAAGATGCTTCTCAGAAATACGTGATTGAAAATATGGGACCCTTCTGATACCTGCAGCAAGTTTAGATGTAAGAGAAAACTATGTGGTCAGTTGAGGCTTGGCCTTAACTAATTGGAAAAAGCAGAGATGAAACCCAGCTGAGATAGAGTAGTAGTGAGAGTCTGCATTGCAGTGAGAAACAGATACTTGATGTGTGGATTTGTGCAAATCTGATCTATTTTACTATTAATTTTCCAATCCATCACTTTTCTCCAACGAAGTGGGAAATTGTTTCAGAGACTGGACAATGTTGTACTAGAAAAAAAGGACATGGCATCCCAATTAGCTCTGCAATATAGAGATTCTGATTTTCCTAAGCCATTGGCATTTTTAAAACATTCCATTAAATACACAATTTTAAGAGGATATAAAATCACAAATCTCTTGAAGAGATGAGTGTGAAGAGCCTGACTTCAAGCTCAAACCATCAGACAGACAGATTAAAAAAGACACGTAGACTACTCATCCCAATCATTTTTTTTTATCCCTTTGGATCATATTACAGAATATAGTTTGTAGAACAGTTTTATGGATTCAGTAGGAAAAGGTGAACAGCTTTGGTTTTAGTTCACGGGATTGTTTATTCTTTTATTCTTGCATGTTTCTTCACAAGGTTTGCTAATTATCCACAATGATTACCATTTTTACTGTCATTTAATGCAATAGTGTTTTTGTATGCTTTTTTTCAAGTTCTAGACATAACATTGTATTGCACCCAATTTATATATTTGTGTATGTGTATACTCCTTTATTTTAAACTTTTCAAGAGTGTCTTCTATAACTTAATTTCTTCTCTAAATTAATTTCTCAGCACCTTTTAATGTTTGTCTTCAATATGTCTTCATATTGTCTAACATTGCATTGAAACTGAAGCTAAATTTTGATCATCAGAGTTTTATAAACTTTTTGATCTCTTCAAATAATGTCAGCAACTTTGGGCTCATGCCATGTAATAATCCTTTACCGGAAAGAGACAAAGCAAAGTACCAGCTACAAAATGGTCTCTTTTCCCTCTCTGCAACAGAAGGCTCCCATCTAAAGTCTAACGTACATGCTGGTACATGCTTGAGGAAGGGTATTGCTTTGAAGAGAACAGGGAGCTAGTTATGCGTGTTTATATGAGAAAGAACAAAGGTATGGCTCAGCTATCTTTGCCAAGATGGAGTTTAAGACAGTGTACTGCCACTCAAGTGAACAACAGAACCACCAGCGGTGGTAGGATATGTCATAGGATATAGAAAGTTAAACTATAGGATTCTGAACTTCCCGCCTGTTATGGACCAGTGCCTCCAACATTCTTAGCCAGATGCCCTTTGGCAAAAAGTGGCTGGAAATTATGAGAACTACAGTTAAGAAACACTCAGAAGATATCAAATTATGGGAGTTCTTGAACACCAAGCAGCAATTATGGTAAAAAAAAAAAAAAAGAACTAACAGGCATACAGAGAATATAACAAAACTCAAATTTCTGAAATTTCTTGTATAGAAATTTAGGTTAACCCATTAAATTGACAAGAAGGTACAGAATTGATTTTGCTTTGAGGGTTTACAGGTAGATTAGCAATGCTTTCCAGTTCCACACTGTTTAATAATTTTACAATTACAGTATTAGGTTTAGCACTCCTGCAAGACTATCACTTATTTCTCAGTTGCTCTTTTTGTCCCATTACTCATGATCTAAGTTCATTGCAAAAGGGAAATTAACTCCAGGATCCTCAACAGCGTACCCAGGGACCTCTTTCTTGTCCATTTTCATGCCCCACATGACTTTTTTTTTTGGTCCACATGCTTTTGTGGACAGGCAGCACTCCTCCCCAAGGGTAACCATAACATTTGCAACAAACTCTCAAAATTCCAAAATGAACCCACTGGCCAAAAACAAAAAAGGTGGGGACTGGAAGACTAGCTAAGACTAAGTATTTTATCCATTATTGGGAACTGCATTGACTAGCTAAGAAAAGAAGTGATATTTTGTTTTCTTTGATGAGGGAACCAGAATCATACATTATTTCAGTTAGCAAAAGGTTTTTTTTATGAGTGAAGTATGTAAGAGCTCTTAATATATGATGAAAGGACATGTAGTCTTTTTCAGTATAAGACACATGTACAACCAAGTGGATTTACCTTTACTCACCTTATTCATACTCAGTTCTCCTTTAGTGGCACAATTGCCGCTAAAAAACAAAGCCCATGTACTGTAATTCATCCTTTCTGATGCAACATTAGGTAAGCAGGCTGGATGACTAAATCAATATTCTGTCTTTAAATATACTGGGTGGCACACATAAACAAAATGTTATGAAGCAATTTACACAAATGTAGGAGAGAGTTCTTTTTTGTTAGTAATTAGAATGTCAAGTTTTATATGTTTCTGTCTTCATACTGATGAGAATGTGATCCAATGCTATTCTTTGCAGTAGTGCCAAAACAACATAAGGAGGTACAGAGATTCAATACACATGAGTCATGCTATTAGCCTGGAGAGTAGATTTTATATAGCTTTTACAAACCAATTTGTTGCTGTTTTAGCCTATGTTTGAGCTTTATTTCAATTTATTAGGCTTTTTATGTTAATTCCAAACAACTACTGACATCAGCGAGTACTGTATCAGTTTACCAATCTTTTTCAAAAGAATACATAAAGGCCAGGCTGCATTCTTTATCTGGGGTTTCTTTCAAACTTTTTTCTAGCATTGGCATTTCTTTCAGTTCTTTACCTTTATTAAGCTGCCCTCTACTGATGGTATTTTGATATACAGCATACACATTTTACATTGAAACAGAAGAACTCATGATGAGTTCTACGAAGTCAACACAGCTTAGTTCCAACAAACTGAACACAGGATTGCAGTTCCAGACAACTAAAAATAGAAATTATTTGCAAAGTTCAAGATTAAATTACTTATACTGTAGAGTAGCAGCAATAACATATCACCACAGTATTTCAGAACACCTGTTTTACTCCTAAATTACATATAAATGCAGACTATTGCCTTTAAATGAAAGGTAACTTGTGAAATTTTGCAGTTACCTTCCTTACAGCTTTAAATATTTAGAAAGTTTCAAGACCTGTTTCCAGAAAAACAGTTCTAGAATTTCAATAAAATGTAAATAAATGTAAATAAATAAGTGGCTTTGCCAGTGTCAGATTATATTTGCTGCCTTGTACAGAAACAATAATTTTCACTACATGGGAACATGGTACACACTTCTCAGAATCCCAAGGCTTACAGGTACCAACAACCAATGAAAAGAACAGGGATGAGTAGCATTCAGGCAAAATTTAGGCTGACCCAGCTGATGTCAACAATGATCTATCTCAATAACTCCTGTGTTACTTATACAATATGCCTGCTATAGACTCCATTTGCATCACATCTGCAGTACCTACATAGAGTCACTTATTTGCAGCCATTTAAATTTATAATTATAAATTTCTAATTTCTAATACGCTTACTCAGATAGGTCAAAAACAGCAAAATCAATAATATGTTTTCCAGTTTGCCATTTTAAGCACAAACTTAGAAACTGCTCTCTCTACGTTGTCTATCTAGACAGTGCAAGTAAGAAGATGCAACAGAAGGTTGAGTTCTTGTATTTTTAACAATTGCTTGGAGGATGTTATCAATATAGCTATGATCTCTGTACTAGACATGAACTGTTTAAAACATTACTGAAAGCTATAATAGCTATGTCTTCAATGGAAAGCTGGCTTCTTTTCAAGAAAGTACTATTGTTCCTCTACTAAAACATACAAGTGAAGTTTCAGATCAGGGACACTACTGGCATGAGATTCACACAGAATCTTCTGCTCCTAGTATATCCCCAGTTATATAATGGGGATGCAAACTTATCCTTGCTTACTCAAAAGCATCCCATTTTAGTAAAAGAAGCAGGAATGCTGGAAGAAACTACAGGAACATGGACTTCTGTAGTAGATGTAAATTTTGCTATATCCTACAGATGAACAGCTTACTCAATCTTTATAACAATTTATTGGGCGAACCAAAAATCTATTTGCCACGCTAACAACTGAATTCATGACATAGTATATATTACTCAGTCTAGGCCTTTATTAGAGAGAAACAACCAAAGTCAGAAAAAAGAAAAAAAAAACCCTAAAAGAGCTGACTTGGTTACATCACAAAGTGCCTTCTTGAGAAAGGTGGCTATCAAATTAGCACTGGTCAGAATCTCATTATAGACAGATCATTTATTAGGATCAAATAATCTTCTGAAAGACTGTTTCACAGTTTTTCTCAAAGAAACTCAGTCAGCTTCAGACAACTTGCCATCAGATCAAAAGAGCAACATCTCTTGGTTTATCGTTTCTTGTATCATATTTTTTATGTCCAAGAATTCTAACAAGCAGTCTGTCAATCAGAATTGCCATCTGGATGGAAAACTAATTACCAAGTAGCCTGAGTAAGAAGAGGTTCTGTCAGATTCTGTGAATGGCTTCTTTACCCTTTGATTACTGCGATGGGCCTCAGTTTAATTGCTTTCTTGCTGATGCCAGCTGCATGGCAGGTGTTAACCACATCTGTCACATTCTTATAAGATTCAGGCGCCTAGAAGAAAGGAGATGTAAAAAAGTAAATGATATGCTTTCAGGTGTTAAGAGAAACAATTTATCCCCAAATCAGAAAGGAAAAAGGGAGCCCTTTCCAGGCAGAAATTAGGGCTTTTAATTTGGCAGATTCTGATAAACTGTATTTTTAATTCTGTTGATAATGGATGTTAATACTTTGCCAGGAAAAGAAACCTGCCCCTGAAATAAAATTATCCAAAAGAAAGATTAAGGAACTCACTTCTTCCATGACTAGTTTAGGAGAAGCAACACGGATTGCAATCCCCATATCTGCCAACTTGTCCAACACATCCTGGAAATCCAAGTTACGTCGAGATTTGGCACGGGACAATGCACGACCCTGTACAATAACGTATTTTTATAAGTACTAGTTTTCAATTGAAGCAAACATTGAAAACATGCATAAAGAAAGCAGTTATACCTGGCATTGGCCATATATTAGAATAAAGAGAACAGACTCTTCAGATTCCTAAATTTTCCTAACACGTACATACATATATACAGATAAAGTTGCTCAGATCTGCTCCACCTTGGACTCTGACTGGGCAGGTCCAACCAAGGTGCCTAGGGGTCAGTCTTGTGGTGTGTTATGAGTCTGAGTCAGTAATTTTTGAGGAAGTGGACAGGGCTCTCAATGCAGTTAGTTCAGCTACTTGCTTGTTGGAATCAGGTCCCTCATGGTTAGTTAAAATGGCCAGGAAGTTGACTTGTAATTGAGTCAATGTGGTGGCCTCTTTGAGGGATGGAATGGTACCTTTGGTTTGAAGGAGATAGTGGTGCATCCCCTTCTAAGAGGCCATTCCTGCATCTACTTACCTTAAACAACTATTTTATTTCCAACCTTTCATTTTAAGGGGAGGTTGTTGAAAAGGTGGTTAGTCTGCAGTTGATGAGAACCCTAAAGGAAGCAGATTATCTAGACCTGTTTCAGTCAGGTTTTAGGCTGGGATTTAGCATGAAGGCAGCTTTGGTCATGCTTGTAGATGACTTGTGGCAGAGCTGGGATGGAGGTGGTGCATCCAACTTTCGGCTCCTTGATCTCTCTGTGGCATTTGATACTGTTGACCATGGTATCCTTCTGGGCTGGCTCCAGAGGTTGGGGATAGCAGGCATTGGTGGTTCTCTTCCTTCCCCTGGAGCCAGTTTCAATTGGTGCTGGTTGGGGGAAAAGGTAATTCCTTAGGTCCTGTCTTTGTGTGGTGCCTCAAGGTTCAACTCTATATCCCCTTTTATTTCACATCTACATGAAACTGCTGGGTGAGGTCATCCGCTGGTATGGAGTTTGATATCATGAGTATGCTGATGACCTCTAAGGGCAACCAAGTGAGGCTGTCAAGATTC